GGCAGGTCAGGTCATCTGGTATTCCCAGCTCTTTAAGAATTTTCCATAGTTTGTTGTGATCAAAAGTCACAAAAGTCAAAAGCTTTGGTATAGTCAAGAAAGCAGAAGTAGATGTTTTTCTGGAACTCTCCTGTTTTTTTGATGATCCAACAGATATTGGCAATTTGATTTTTGGTTCCTCCACCTTTTCTGAATCCAGCTTGGACATATGAAAGTTCACGGTTCACGTACTGTTGAAGCCTTGCTTGGAGAATTTTGAGCATTACTTTGCTAGCGTGTGATTTGAGTGCAATTGTGTGGTAGTTTGAGCATTATTTGGCATTGCGTTTCTTTGAGATTGGCATGAAAACTGACCTTTTCCAGTCCTGTGGCCCTGCTGAGTTTTGCAAATTTGCTGACATAGTGAGTGCAGCACTTTCACAGCATCATCTTTTAGGATTTGAAATAGCTCAGCTGAAATTCCATCACCTCTACTAGCTTTGTTGGTAGTGATGCTTCCTAAGGCCCATTTGACTTGCATTCCAGGATGTCTGGATCTAGGTGAGTGATCACAGCATCATGATTATCTGGGTCATGAAGTTCCATTTTGTATAGGTCTTCTGTGTATTCTTGCCACCTCTTCTTAATATCTTCTGCTTCTATGGATGCAATGTATAGCACACAGAATATAGCCAATATTTTTAAATAACTTTATATGGAGTATAATCCATAAAAAACATTGAATAACTCTGCTGCACACCTGAAACTAATATAATATTGTAAGTCATCTATATTTCAATTTAAAAAATTTAAAAAAACTTATAAAAGGACTTTAGGATAAGTTAACTTTACACATAATGTAAATAGTGGATTTTTAGATGTCTCAAGACTCTATGGCAACCCACTCTAGTATTCTTGCCTGAAGAATCCTGTGGACAGAGAAGCCTGGCAGTCCATAGGGTAGCACAGAGTCAGACACCACTAAAGTGACTTAGCATGCACACACATGGCTGTATGTTGTCACCCTGCTTATTTAACTTATATGCAGAGTATATCATGAGAAATGCCAGGCTGGATGAAGCTCAAGCTGGAATCAAGATTGCTGGGAGAAATATCAATAACCTCAGATATGCTGATGACACCACCCTTATGGCAGCAAACAAAGAAGAACTAAGGAGGCTCTTGATGAAAGTGAAAGAGGAGGGTGAAAAAGCTGGCTCAAAACTCAATGTTCATGGAGAAGGAAATGGCAACCCACTCCAATACTCTTGCCTGGAAAATCCCATGGACTGTGGAACCTAGTAGGCTACAGTCCATGGGGTCTCAAAGACTCGGACACGACTGAGCAACTTCACTTCACTTCATGGCAAAATGTCTTGTGTGAACCATGTTTATCTTAATTTCCATGAAACAACACTCTGCAAGTCTAATAAAACTTTTATCTACTGTACATAGAGAAAAAAAAAAGCTCAACATTCAGAAAACTAAGATCATGGGATCTGGTCCCCTCACTTCATGGCAAATAGATGGGGAAACAATGCAAACAGTGAGAGACTTTATTTTTTTCTGCTCCAAAATCACTGCAGATGATGACTGCAGCCATGAAATTAAAAGACGCTTGCTCCTTGGAAGAAAAGATATGACAAACTTAGCATATTAAAAAGCAAAGACAGTACTTTGCTGACAAAAGTCCATCTAATCAAATCTATGGTTTTTCCAGTATTCATGTATGGATGTAAGAGTTGGACCATAAAGATGGCTGAGCACTGGGAAGACCCAGAGGAATCGGGTGGAGAGGGAGGCGGGAGGGGGATCGGGATGGGCAATACATGTAAATCCATGGCTGATTCATGTCAATGTATGACAAAAACCACTACAATATTGTAAAGTAATTAGCCTCCAAAGACTCCATGGATATGAGTTTAAGCAAGCTCCAGGAAATAGTGAAGGACAGGGAAGCCTGGCGTGCTGCAGTCCTTTGGGTCACAAAGAGTCAGACACGACGGAGCAGCTGAACAAAAACGTGATATATTTTCCTTCTAATATATTGCCCTCATTGGTTTGCAGTACATTCAAAAGATTTTTGTTGTTGTTGTTCTTTCCATTTACTACGTCATTTAGTTCGGCCTTGCAAAATGTATGACTTTATACATCATTTTATGTGTTGAGATGTATGTATTAAATACTTTTCATCTCTTTGAGTCCCCTAATAAAAATATTACCAAACTTCAGGTTTTATTTTTCCCCCTGTAAATTCCTTGCGGCCGACACATCCAAGCCTCACTTTCATTCCCACCTTGTATCTAGTTCAACGCCTGATACAAAGATACTGCTTATAATTCCTTAGAACTCCTCTTATTTTCCCCTCTCCAACCTGAATCTAATCCCCTTGAGCACCAATACTTGGGTGCATTTATATTTGTACTATTAATACTCTCCCCTATCCTCTTGTGTAGCCCTATTCTTTACATGTAAGTTCTTATTAATGAATGAATAAACGTATATCTGCTCTCCCATTTGCCACATCAAATTCATGTTTCAAAATGAATGTGTTCAAATCAAATGCAGAGTCTAACTTTGCATGCATCAATTATTTTGATTGTCACTTATAGAGCCATTACTCACTTATTTGTCTTAGATTATGAATGCAAAGATAACAGAAACTATTGTCTCAGAGGTCTGTGCAATTTTCTTCGTAAATTCTCCAACTGAGAGCTCTTTGCAAGTAAGTGTCGGCTAAACATGGCTGGATAATGGTGAAACTCCAACCCTTCTTTTGCCTACTTGAATTTTATATCTTTGCAGGAGACAGTTTATTACTTTTGGAACAATTACTTATGAAAGAGGAAAACTGGACTCTCATAGAGAATGGAACAGGTATTGACTGGACCAGTAGAATTCAGAAAGCTAAGAGGATCAGCCTTGAAGAGTAAACCAAACTCTGTCTCTGTGTTTTTCTGGAGGCATTTTTTTCTCCTGTTGGAATGAAGGCAGGCCAACTAGGGATAATGTGAGTGGGTGGGAACAGGGGTATGAAGCTTTCACCTTGGCTTCCACCTTGGAATTAATAGGGCTTTTATGCCCCTAGATCTCTGGGTCCAGCACCTTTCAGTTTGAAACACCACTGAATAAAACCAGTGCATCCAGAGATCTTTTCCCCATCTAAAACTGATTAGCAGCTTCACAAGCCTATTGTTCTATAATGAGTCCTGCTGCTTCCTTATATGTATTTCTTTAAAATCTAAATGGTCATTTGTTCCAGACAGAAAACATCCTGAGAGTATCAGAGCAAACCTGTCATAGGCTTCACTACCTTTCTACTTATAATTAAATCACTGTAGAGAGATGTTGTGTACCTAGCTTAAAATAAATACATTTTGTTGTACAACCGAGAGATATGCCACTTGATGGAAAAAAGTTAATTAAAGCCACAGATTCTCTGCAATACCCAGAATTGATCTTCCATTTATCCTAGGTTGCCTGCCTGACTCCATCCTCTCTTAAAGTGACTTGTTTCTCAAGAGTCCAGCAGTTCCTCTTGCAATTGATTTCTGGTGTCTACTGACCAGTTTCCAAATCGTGCTCAAATATGTCTAAGCCCCAGGAAAGGAGGTACTTTAAGCTTAAGTTAAGACAGTTTCACCTCTCTACACACATTACTGACAACACAAATTGGCTCTATGCTGTATTTTACATAAGAATGGCCACACATCAAGGCCCAGGTGTTTAAACAATTCTCTACCATTACCTCCTATTTGAGGGTGACAATATCAATATAAACAAAGAGAAAGTAATGATGCATATGAATAGAATGAGGTGTTCTATGCTGGGTTATTGTAGAAAGTTAGAGATAACTTTAGAATGTAGAAACTATTCTTTTGGAAAGGAATTAAGACCTCTAAATTGTCTTTTCCTTAACTGTGCCGCACAAACCTTCCCCCACTAACTTTTCACACCATTCACATGTAATGCATTACAAACAAGTTTCAGCCTGGGTTTTAAAAAATGTTTTGGCGGCTTACATCCCCCTAGTACATTTTCCCTCATGGAGAGGAACCAAAAAAGATAAACGTTTTGATAAATACAGAGGCATCTTAGAGGAATCAAGACTTGAGCTAAAGTCTCAAAGGAGTTTGGGGCGGAGAATAGCATCCCAACCCCTTTACAAAGATGTTATCTGTTACAGAATTATTCATAAACAAGGAAGTATCTTGTTTTAAATTCAATTTTGTTATTGATCTACTGTATGGGTTTAGACCTAAAGTCGTCCCATCTCTTGTCTTCAGTTTTCTCGTATTTTCAATTTGTTGGTTCAAATAGACCGTGATCTATAAGAGCACAGAACTCAGTGGAGTGAAAAGAATTCGGTTTTGTACACTGTAACACTCACTAGCTGTTGCAGCTTTTGGAAAATTGGTTCACCTCTGAGACTTGGGCTTTTCAGGTGACTCAAATGGTAAAGAACCGCCTGCAATGTGGGAGACCTGGGTTCAATCCCTAAGTCAGGAAGATCCCCTGGAGAAGGAAATGGCAACCCACTCCAGTATTCTTGCCTGTAGAATTCCGCGGACAGAGGAGCCTGATGGGCTACAGTCCATGGGGTCACAAAAATTGGACAGGACTGAATGACTAACACTTTCACTTTCTGAGCCTTATTTTCCTCATCTATAAAATACGAAAAATCAGATCTCAGTTTACCTTATCATTTTGTGATACTTCGGTAAAATAACAGAAAGATAAATTTGTGTATTAAAAAATGTCACACATGCGTGAAGTGAAAGTTGACTAGAACGAGAGATATATAGAAATGTGGAAAGCGGTCGGGACAAAAGTAAAAGAAGTTTGGGATGGAAAAAGAAAAAATAAATGAAGGAAAAGAAAACGAGGAATAACGAGGTAATTTCAGCGGCGATAAAGGCTGTAACAGGAAGCGCAAGCTCTCAAGAATATTGGGGGAGGGGCCGCAGGTGGCTGGGTCATGTTGCCGGGGGAGCCATTTTGGGATTGCACGGCGGATCGGCGCGGGGCCTATTTGGCTGTGACGCCTAGCTCAGGTTTCTACCTTCCTATGCCCTAGGGCTCATCTAAAACCTAAGATGGCGGCATTTGCATAGGGTGTAAGCGCTGCAGGCATACTTTATGTGAAAAGACGGCCAAAGGACGAGTCTCCTAAGGAATGTCCAGAAATTTGCGGATATTTGTGTTGTGGTGAGTGCTGAACCTCGCATCGAGTTGAAAAGTGATCATTAGTAAGGTTACACACTTCGGCATCGCATGGCCTGACTGGGTGGGGGAGGAGCCGGCCTACATTTCATTTTTCTCTCTCTTCAAAATATTGGAGAATAATTGCTCTCTACTTAATCACCTTACTATCACGGATGAGGATAGGTGGTTGCAGGAACTAGCTCCTAGTGGGTATTCTGGGTCGTTTTCCTTTTTTTTTTTTTTTAACTTGTTTAAATGGGTTTTTATTGATACCATGCCGCCGCAAAATTCTCTCTCCCTAAAGCGCTTTCAGGAACTGCCTAACCTGTTGGGCCTGCGGGTCCTTAATTCCTAAGGGCTGCCTTTCCATGTGCAAACTTAGTTTTGATAAACCAATCAGTTCGTAATATATTCATGGTGGGCTAGATTAAAATAGTTTTGTTCTATGCCCTTTATATATACTTCAAATGAGGACTTTTGGTCTTATAATACTTAACATTTGTCCGGGGAACATCTTAGAGATCTAGGGGTGTGTGTGTGTGTGTGTGTGTGTGTGTGTGTGTGTGTATAGATAATATTTAAGGGAGTTGCTACATTATATTGTGAATTGTTAGCTTGTTTACTCACTAAGAAAAGAGCTAAATTTCCCGTGTTCAGATCTCTTGGTGAAAATAAATTTATGTTAAGCACAATATCATTACATGTTTACTGTATGGGAAGACCGTAAAACTGAATTTTATCTATTAAATGCTTATGTGGTTAAAAGAAATTTGCCTCAAGAAATGCCCACATCTCACTCATACATTGCTGGAAAGACTATGAATTGCTGCAGCCTTTTGAAAAAATGATCTGACAATATGTAAGGAAATAAAAAAATACGAATACTGCTTGACTAAATACTGGAACTTAATATTCTGACTTTTAAGAATCCATTCTACAGAAATAAATGTACCAATGTGTAAGGATATATCAACAAGGATGCTTTTGTAGCTTTGTTTTTGTGACAACTGGAAACAACCTGTATATCCGTCCGTAGGAGAATGTTTGAATAAATCTTGGGACAATCGTATTATGAAATATTTTGCAACTGTGGAAGCAGATTTACCTCTATTGATCTGCAACAACTAAGACCAGGTACAGCCAAATAAATATTTAAGAAAAAAAGTAAAGTGATTCTTTTTCCCGTGCATTTCTTAAACTTTTGTGATGTGATGAACTTTTTCTAGCATGGGTTATTTTTTATACATTTTGAACAGAAATTTTTAAAAGTTGAATTTTAAGTGTTGGGCTGCAGTAACAGGGACCAATTGAAATTTCTTCTAAATTTGAGGGCAGAATCTAATTTTTTTTTTAAAGAAATTAAACCAGGAAACAAGTGTCAGCCAGAAAGAAGAGAAATTGGATCTCTCATACATTGCTGCTGGAATGTAAAATGGTGCAACCACTGTGGAAAATAGTTTGACAGTTTATAAGTTAAACATAGAATTACCACACTTCCTTGCTGACACTTGTTATCTCCTTTTTTTTTTTAAATTTAAAAATTACAACCATTCTAGTGTGTTTGGAGTGTTATATCATTGTGGTTTAGATTCAAATTTCCCTAATCACCAATGATTTTGGCCACCTTGATGCACTTATTGGCCATTTGTGTATTTTCTTTGTGGAGAAAAGAAAGTCTATTCAAGTCCTTTGCCACCCCCCCTTTTTTTTTTTTAAATTTTGAGTGTCTTTTTGTTGTTGAGCTATAAATTCTTTCATATTCTGGATAGTAGTCTGATTATATATATAATGGTAATGTCCTTTGGTATACAGATTTTTAAAGTCTGCTTTATTTTTTCTTTTGTTGCTTGTACTTCTGGTGCAAATCTAAGAATTCTTTGCCAAATAAATCTAAGAAGATTTATCTTTATGTATTTTTCTAAGTGTTCTTTGGTTTTAGCTTTTATATTTATGTCATATATCCATTTTGAATTATTTTTGTATATGATATGAGATCCAATTTCATTCTTTTACACGTGCATAGCCAGTTGTCCCAGCACCACACATTGGAGAGACTGTCCCCCATTGAATGGTCCTGGCACCCTTGTTGAAATCAGTTGGCTTAGGTGTATGGGTTTATTCTGGTATTTCAAATTTATTTCATTTGTCTCTGTGCCTATCCTTATTCCAGTGCCATACTTTTGATTAATGTTGATTGTGTTAATTTTTAAAATTGAGAAGTGTCAATCCTCCAGCTTTGTTCTTTCTCAAGATTGTTTTGGCTATTTGGGGCCTCTTGTAATTCCATATGAATTTTAGGATTAGCTTGTCCATTTCTTTTTAAGTCATATAGAAAAAAATAAGAGGGGTTACAAACCAAAAATACAATAATACTAGCTTTTATATTTGCCTATGTAGTTACCTTTGCTGCTGCTGCATGCATGCTCAGTCACTTGGTTGTATCCAACTCTTTGTGACCCCATGGACTGTAGCCTGCCAGGTTCCTCTGTCCATGGGATTTCCCAGGCAAGGATACTGGAGTGGGTTGCCATTTCCTCCTCCAGGGGATCTACCTGACCCAGGGGATCAAACCTGAGTCTCTTGGGTCTCTTACATTGGCAGGCAGATTCTTTACCACTGAACCACCTGGGAATCCCTTGTAGTTACCTTTGCCTGTGTTCTTTATTTCTTCATATAGTTTTGAGTTCGTCTATTATCCTTTCATTTTATTCTGAAGAACTCCCTTTGGCAGTTCTTGTAAGGCATGTCTGTTAGCAATGAACTTCCTCAGCTTTTGTTTATCTCAGAATGTCTTAATGTCTCATTCAGTTCTCTTTTGATAGATTTATTGAAATATAATTCACATACCATACAGTTCACCCATTTAAAGTGTACAGTTCAATAGTTTTTAGTATATGTGCAACCATCACCAAATCTTACAACATTTTCATCACTCCAAGAGGAAGTCCGTATGCTTTAGCCATAAGCCAGATGGTTGGATGGCATCACAGATTCAATGGACAAGGGTTTGGGTGGACTCCGGGAGTTGGTGATGGACAGGGAGGCCTGGCGTGCTGTGGTTCATGGGGTTGCAAAGAGTCGGACATGACTGAGCGACTGAATACCCCCTTGAACCCCACCTGCCCAGCCCTAGGTAACCACTAATCTACTTTTATCTCTATACATTTTCCAGTTGAGAATATTTCATATAAATAGGATCATAATATATGGCCTTTTGTGATTGGCTTTTTTCATTTAGCATACTGCTTCAAAGTTCATGTATGTTGTAGCATGTATCAGTACTTTGTATCCCATTTATGACTTCCATTCATAGAGTGGATATACTACATTTCCTTTGATCATCCATCTGGACATTTGGGTTGTTTCTACCTTTAGGCTATCAAGAATGATTCTGCTAAAACATTCACGTATAAATTTCTGTAGAGAAATGTGTTTTCATTTCTATAGGTGTATACTTAAGAGTTATTGCTGGATCATATAGCAACTCTGTGTTTAATAGTTTGAGACACTGTTAGACTTTTTTTCAAAATGGCTGCACCATTTTACACTCTGCAGTATGAGGGCTCTAACTTGTTTACATTCTCACCAGCACTTGTCACTATCGACTTTATCCAATTCTGGCCATCCTAGAGGGTGTTAATGGTATTTCACTGTGATTTCCTTTCCCACAAGGTTAGGTCCCTGATGTTGTTCTTTAGGGAGGTGCAATTTGAATATGCCTACCATCACCCTGGGATGACTGAGTTTTGTTAGAGCTGTCATTCTCTGACCACACCCAGCAGCCAGCAGCCAAGCTCCATTTACTGATCCTTTAATTGTTTTCCATAATGCTCGAGGGCATAAACTACTCTGAAAACTAATTCAGTCAAATTGTGGGTCCTTTGACGAAATAGTTAGCAGAGGTTAGTGTTTGATATTTGTTCTGGCTCCAAGAGGGTTCTTCCTGGTTGCCTTACTGCCCATTTCTCACCTGCAAACTCATTGACCTACAGTTTGGAGTATATTTTGAATCTTCTCCCAATTGCTTTTCTTTACAGTTCAGTCAGTCAGTTCAGTCACTCAGACGTGTCCTACTCTTTGCGACTCCATGGACTGTAGCACGGCAGGCCTCCCTGTCCATCACCAACTCCTGAAGTTTACTCAAACTCATGTCCATTGAGTTGGTGATGCCATCCAACCATCTCATCCTCTGTTGTCCCCTTCTCCTATTTGCTTTCTGCCATAAGGGTGGTGTCATCTGCATATCTGAGGTTATTGATATTTCTCCCAGCAATCTTGATTCCAGCTTGTGCTTCATCCAGCCCAGCGTTTGTCATGATGTACTCTGCATGTAATTTAAATAAGCAGGGTGACAATATACAGCCTTGACATACTGCTTTCTGTATTTGGAACCAGTCTGTTGTTCCGTGTCCAGTTCTCACTGTTGCCTCCTGACCTACATACAGATTTTCTTTACAACGTCACTGTCCTTTAAGTGCTCTTCTAGGCTTGACTTTCTCCTTGGTCTTGCAAATGAAGTCAGTTCTGTTCCTTTAAGAAGAGAATAGGAGCTATCTGTTTTAAAAGTCTACTTTTTCCCTCAAGCAAAAGCTTTGAGTCTGGTCTCTGGAGGTGGGGGTAGGGACAATGGCAAGTTTCTGAGTGACAGTTCGGTTCTTCTAGGTGAGTGCTTAGTGGAGGGGAGAGTGCAACCAGAGGTCTTCTCAATTTACCGTTTACTCCTCACAACCCAGGGCAAGGATGTTCAGGGCCCTAGTGTTCTCCACATACCACATCCAGTTAAAGTCTTCATCCCACCACTGGGGGTTAGGTGACAGAAAGGATGTTTAGGACCCCAGTATTCTCCACATATCACATCCAGTTAAAGTATTCATTCCACCACTGAGGGTTAGGTGGCAGAAAGGAACCCCTCCCTCTAAACCACAGTTGTTCAGGACTCAGCCCTGGCAACAGGCTCTGTAGCTGGATGGGAAACTCCAATGCCCTGTTCTTCCAGAGAAGAA